GAGCCAGAACAAGTCGTTTTGGAATTTACAGCTATAGTCACCATTTACCAAAATATTGAGTCACTTAATTTCAATAAGTAGAGCTGTTAGTTGCATTCTTTGATTCTTCGATCTGAGGTTCCTCATCATTCTATGTTTTGGTGGATGGGATTTCGAGATAGATACCAGATTACATGTGCATCATATACATGAAGAAGAACAACAAGGCACTTAGCACATATCGATGTGTTCCCAAGGTGAGTTATGAGTCGGTGAAACCATAAACAGTTCAGTGACTCAGACATTAAAAAAATTTCACTTAATTTACTTGAATATGAATACCGTAAACTATAAAAAAACTAATCGGATTGCTAGTGAGCAATTAAATTCAACATCTGTCCCCCGGGATACCAGTGAATAGCAGTTTTTGACGTACCTAAATGCGTTATGTCCATTTTTTTCCGCTGGGAATCATCCGTATACGATCCAACTCCTTCATGAGCATGCCGAAATAATTGTCGAAGCCAGGCAGCCTGGCGATCCACGTAAACATGAGCCGGTTGGAACTGATTGACTAAAGTTCCTCCGTATGTATGATGCAATTGAGCTCGTGCATATGGAACAACTTCGCGTAACATATGCATCCACACATCCGCGTGACCCTTATCGTTCTCTAGATTAGCCAATTCCGAGTGCAGCAGAAGGATCAAACACACATGTCGATGAGACTGATGCGAACTGGAATGACCGTGAGTTGCCTCATTGCTTCTTCGCAGCTCAGATTCCGAGGCGTAAGGATTGGTCGGTTCTCCACCATCCGTTGGACAAAGATCGAGAAGACGGGAAGTACTATAAATTCGAGGAATAGTCAGTTGACTATATGACCGAATAGCTTGATCCAACTCCGCGGGTAACAACTTCCGACGTGACATTTTAAATACCGGATGCTCAGCGTCCTCATGAAAAAGAAGAAGACTTTCCTAAAAAAAAGGGGTTAACGTGCGGATTATGAGTGAAACAGTGCGAGAAGAATCGTTCTTGCGCAATTAAATCATGATCACGAGACTGAAAATCATTACGGTGACCGATGTTGAACTTGTGTAATAGGACTGCAAGGAAAAATCAATCTACATATGACCAATAGGTGAATTTTCGGTGTTTTCAGACGGGCTGTAGTCGAAACTAGTTAACCACTCTCCAGAAAAGAAGTCAGTCTAGTTTGGGGTTTATGTCACAGGTCAAAACAACTTGAAACAGTATTAGAACCAGTTGCAATTACCTCTCGAGTTGACGTTAAGTCTGAGAAAATTATTTCCTTAGAGTGCCCACAAAATCGATGGGAAATCATCATCACTATCGTCCAGTGTAAAACAGTAAAACGCACTTCACTGATCGCTGCCAAACTCATAATGCATACAAGGTAATTGAGAATGTGTGAGATGAATTGGGCCTATTTTTAGGGACAGGAAAAGTGGATCTCTATGATCAACACAGAGTGCACAGTCCAATTGTGCAGACACACGTTTTCTGATGAGAAGTGACACTAAGATCTCCACCTTCAGTATCTCTAACCCTCCGGTTACGGAGTCTTTTGGACCACAACCCGGAAGACAACAGACACCTACCCTAACTAATCGCTCTGTGCATTTCTTCATACCTCGTCTCCACTTCATCTGCTGGCCTCCGCGTGGCCTCCTCCAGTCTGCTGCGGCCACTGGAAATAAGGCGCAGTGCAGTAGGCGACTATTAGCCATACGCAAAACGTATCCTAACAAACGGAGCCTAATCAGCTGAATTCGTTAAAACGAGCTCGTGTGCGATACATCCCCAAACACCCGACGAGTTTCTTTTAGGTTACCAATCCACTCCCTCCATCCCACCTGCGACGGACTATGTAAGCATAGATTGCTGAAAACCGCTAGGCAACGTATGTCTTCTACCCGTCAATTAAAGGTCTCACAGCCGTAAACATTGGCGCAGTATACGCGATATTTCGCCTTCAGTGAAACTTTACGTCATCGTCGCAGGTACATTAGTCCCGCATAGGTTGCTCGGGCCTTCGAAATGCGAGGGGTTATCTCCTCTGATGCGCTAGCATCGTTGGTCACGCAACTACCCTAGTGCGAGAAGTAGTCAACTTCAGCTAATTCCCGACCATATAATCAAAGAACAGGACTAGTCCACAACCAGTCCTGCAGCATCACTTTGCACTTTGAAGGGCAAAACGCATGCCGAACGCAGCTACAAAACTTGAAAGTCTGTCAAATGCGCTTTGTGCATCCTACATAAATTTGAACAGTCCAACGAGGCCATCAGCGTACGCTAGGGCCCCATACTGTTTCCAGCCACCCATTTAGTACTAACACTTTGGTGACCAATCAGTGTGTTCTCCAGTATTTCGTCTCCGACAAAATCGATCACGAATGGTGAAATGGGACATCGTTGACGAACACCACTGCTAGTTTCGAGCGACCTACTCAGCTCGTCGTAGACCCCTACGTTACCAGAAGTATGTGAGTAGTGCCCGCGATATGTTCACATAC